GCCCAGAGTGAAACTGTACCCTTTTTACACACTTCTTGCACATGACAGGGTGGACTGGGGGACCTCCAGTGTATTTGTAGTGGGTGCTAGACAATTGCCTATCTAAAACATTCCCAGCTGGGGGTGCTGGGCTTATCCTGAGAAGGAATCACCAGCCTACACCAAACAAGCAGAAGAGAACTCTGGCCAAACAGGGAAATGCAAAGAATGTCATCCTTAACCAAGTACTTCTTGCTTCACTGGGTCAGGTGCCTAAAGTTTTTGTTTTTCCCAGTAAAGATTCTGTGGTTTGATAAATTCTACTTGTGGAACAAGCTGAGCTGGATACTTCCATCAGATATTTGCTTAGGTAAATATTGTTACACACTAGGTAAAAATGCAAGATATCGTGGGTGTATTTGCCTACCTACATGGTGGCATCTCCAGAACCTGCTCTCCTGACGCTGTATCAGTGATTCATATTTAGACCAAAGGTACTGTAATGGCTATTCCTGGTTGTCAACCTGACTATATCTGGAATGGACTACAGTTCAGAACAGGAGGGCTCACCTGTGATCCAGATCTTGAGGCTGGAAGATACAAGTGTTTGACCTGGGTCTTGTTATGATCTTGAGGCATAGTGGCCATGGAAAGCTTAAGCCTAGGCAAGGTGGTATACGACTTTAATCCCTGGAGACTGAGGCAAGGGGATCTCTGAGTTCAAGGTCAGCCTGGGACAAAGCAAATTCCAGATCCAGGCATGGTGGTACACACCTTTAATCTGGGCCACACATAAGGACATTGCTGGAGGCCTACATAAGGACATCGGAAGAAGAAACATTGGCTCTTACTTGCCTGCTTGCATTTACTTGCCAGCACATCTGTTGGTGTCTACTTCTACAGAAGGCCAGCTGAAACAACTAGCCTTGTGGGACTGAGCAACTACTAGATTCTTTCACTTCCTATCCACAGCTGCCCATTGTTGGGTTAGTGGGACTACAGACTAAGTCATCACAATAATTCCTTCAATAAAGAGAGGCATTTCGTAAGCACTGCGACTATAGAGCATCCTAATACAGAAGTTGGTACCAGCGACTGAGGTATTGCTGTGATAGGCCTGGCCATACTTTTGTTTGGGAGAATGTATATTTTGGGACTTTGGATTTAGAAAGCGAGTATTTTGTTATCAGCCTTTAGATGAAGATGTAGAATTCTCATGCCTGCCTGGATGCTGCCATGTTCCTGACTTGATGATAATGGACTGAACTTCTGAACCTGTAAGCCAGCCCCAATTAAATGTTGTCCTTTATAAGACTTGTCTTGGTCATGGTGTTCTGTTCACAGCAGTAAAACCCTAAGATAGATACAATAAGCAAACTCAGCATAGAACTAAGCTAGGCTTTGTTCCTGTTGCCACATCCCCCAATACAAACATACACACACACACATACACACACACACACACACACACACAGATTACAAGATTGAGTATGAAACCATTGATTAGCTGCTGAAGCACAATAGAATTAGTAGAGCTCAATCTCAGAATCACTCACCTGACAATGCTACTGATATTAAATGAGACCATTATAGTTATTGGGAAAGTATTTTGATCACAAAAATGTAATAGTCATCAGCAGACCAACACGGGTGTTCCTGGAGGATTCTCTAAGTTTAGCGCTCTCTGCCACTCCTCCACAGCTAGTGGCTCACACAGTGTGTAGTAAGAAGGCGTTAAGGAGATGAAAGCGTTAAGGCAGAAAATGCTGGGCTGCTATATTGGTTACTTCAAGCTGAATCACTTAAGGTACTGTACTTTCATAAAGAGTCAGTCAGCCTTTTCCCTATATGTAGCAAGCCATAAGAATTCTTTGAGGGATAGCTAGAGATGTAGAAAGAGAGTGTGTCTAGTATGGTTGGGTGTCCTAGATTCTATCTTCAGCACCACAGAAAGAAAAAGACAAGTTAAGTTTTGGTGAGAAGGCTGTCCTATGCATACTGAGACCAGAAAATAGCTTAGAACACTAGAGTCTGGCGATGTAAACTCAAATAAAAGAAATGCTTTTCAAAAGCTCCATCTTCTATTAGCACCTAATATTTCACTTAGTAGTAGCCCCTAGAGCAGTGCCTCTCAACCTTCCTAATGCTGTGACCTTTAATACAGTTCCTCATGTTGTGATGAGCCCTAACCATGAAATTGTTTCTATTGCTACTTCATGACTGTAATTTTGCTACTGTTATGAGTCTTGATGTTTTTCTCTTGTCAACCAACTGGCTTTTGAATTGATTGGAATCCCAAATCTAACCAAAGATCCTACCTAAGAACCAAGAAGGTAAAAGAGCGTTTTCTCCCTCACACAGTAGAGGACTTTGATCTAACACCTGAATCGTTTCTGATAATACATACTCTAGTGAAGGGCTGGAGTGATGGCTCAGTGGTTAAGAGCATTGGCTGCTCTCAGAGGATATGGGTTCAATTCCCAGCACCCACATGGCAGCTCATAACCATCTATAACTCCAGTTCCAGGGGGCCCAATGCCCTCTTCTGGCCTCCATGGGCACTGCATGTAGTGGACAGTCAAACATGTGGGCAAATAAAACATCCATATACATAAAATTAAATAAAAAAATTAAAAATATTGAGGATGCTAGGGGCTGGAAAGAGAGGAGTCAGTGGTTAAGAGTTTCTGCTAGGCAATTATGAAGAGCCAGATTCATATCCCAGGACTCATGTAAGACACTGCTACCTGTACAGTCATGCATCTGGTACATGACTGTAACCCAGCTCCAAGGAGAACGGAAGCAGCATCAATACTGGAGTCCACTGGCTACCAGCCTAATCAAGAAAAAACAAACCCCAAATTCAGGGAGAGACCCTGTCTTAAAGGTAAAGGCAGTGATAGAGGCTATACCTGGCAGCTGCTTTTAGCCTCTCTATGCATGAACAGACTTGAGTAGCATTCTCCATGTGTGCCTACACCTCCCACATGACTCAGTCTTTTAGTATTGAGGACGCTGAATAACCTTTATTTATGTGGGTCTATCACCTGCCTTTATACCTACCTACCCATCATCAACATTTTTACAATGCTGAAGATTTAACCGGGGTATTTAATACCTACGAATGTGTAAACACATTCTATTAGGTGTCCATATATCACACTGCAGCCTTTGGAAAGCTACAAAGCACACTGATTTTTTTTTTTAAATGAGAAAGAATCTGGATGTGGTCGTATGTGGTATGTGCCTATAAATTCTAGCATTTGGGGGGCCAGTCTGGCCTACATGAGACCCTGATTCAAAAAAATTAAAAACAAAAGTATTGCAAATGGTAGATAATGTTACAGTATTAACAGGAAACATTTTGACCTCGTGGACCACAAGTTGAGAAAATTGCTACACACAGTAACTGTTTTATATCAGATTGGATAGATGTGGATAGTTTTTTTTTTTTTTCGGAGATTACGAGCATGTGCTACTACACCCAGCTTATTTTTGCCTAAGCTATCGGGAGGAGAAAAATATGATCACATGAGAAAGCAGTCTCTTGCTGGACAGTTGGTATTCAATCTACAACAGTGGGGGAGGCATTACAGTGCATTTTTCGTTTGTAGCTCTGGCCTGCTCACTCCTGCTAGCCTGTAAATGACCCTAGAAGGAGGTCAGTCTATGTTCTTCTCCTTGGGTTCCAGGAGACCATCAGTAGAACTGGTTCTAGAGAAGTAAGAGGGGACAGAAAGCAGGATAATGAAGACACAGGAGTGGTTTAGCCTGTAAGGAATAAAGCTGAATTTCCCGAACAGGAGGTAGAGACTGGCAGCTTCTACCAGCCTTGGAGACAATGGTTGTGTGGGTGTCTGAGGAGGAAGAGAGACACAGATGTGTTGCTTATAGGAGCTCCAGCCAGGAGAGAAGGCAAGCATGCCTGAGCAAGGAAATGACAAACCAGTGGAGATTGCTGCCATCTTTGCCACTGTCCTTACATGGAACTTCCTAAGAACGAGGCCCTGAGTTGCTACTGAAAAGAATAAAATGCTTTGCTCCAAGATCTTACCTGCACCACATAAAACTGGCTTATATTTAGAAACTACAGGATAATTACAGATGTAAAACCGTTATGAGCAGATAGGTCATCTTCCCCAAACTTGATTGCTAGCTTTAACATTCACACTGGTAGAAAGGTTAATAGAACCCGCTGCCCGGGATGCCACCGAGAACACCTAATGAGTGACATATGAAGACTCCGAGTAATAGTGCCCAGTACACATTACTATATGTACTATATACTACTGTGTATGTATTATGTCCTGCACTTGTGGTTCTTACCTGCTATACTGCATCTTCTGTGGGTTGGGATGGCTGAAGGTTTCCCCAAGTCTATGTTACTCATAAATGACTAAACACTCAGTACTACGGAAATGCTCTTGGGTGGGGGGGGAGGGTCAAGATGCTTGGAAGGGTCCAGAGAACCTGTTGCTACAGCCTTGAGGATCTTTTTACCCTAGCCAGCAGCGGGTTGGGTCTGGTAAAGCTGTCCTGCCTTCAAGAGGAACAAGAATCTTCCTTAGGCGTGAGAATTGGTGTCTCAAGCGCAGTGAAGAAAATTGCTGCGAACTCCCATGGAGTCCAAAGGGGTCTGGGTCTCCTTGCGTTTTTTCCGTATTTTACATTTTTACAAAGGGTAGGGGTCGCTTTGGCTTTTTTTACACACCCTGAACGCACGCGGACTAGAGCGACTTTGAAGGCCTTTGCCACCAACCACGGTGGAACCGGAGAGCTGGTGGCTACGGTCCCGGCTTCCACCCCAGCCCCTGTCCTACCCTTCGGGGCCGGCCTGTCAGTCCCGCCCCGGGTGGGCGTGGCAGCCGTGCTCCTGGACTCCCGGGGGCGGGGCCGGGGCCGGGGCGGGTCTGTTCCAGCGGTGGCAGGCGGGAGCAGCCCGGCTTGGGAGGCCCGCGGGGAGGCGCCGTATCCGGAGGCTGCCCCGCACCGCATAAAGCCACAGACGCACAGTGTGCCCCGCAGCCACTCGGGCGGGTCGCAGCTCCGGAGAAGCTGCTCCGATGCTCCAGAGCGGCCATGGGCGCCCCGCACTGGTGGGACCAGCTACGGGCTGGCAGTTCGGAGGTGGATTGGTGCGAGGACAACTACACCATCGTGCCTGCCATCGCCGAGTTCTACAACACGGTGCGGGACGCGGGAGCGGCAGGGCAGGCGGGTGGAGGGAGAGAGTTGTCCCCGTGGCTGCGGCGCCTGGAAGCAGGCGGTGAATGACCGTGGTCGTCCGAGGCAGGAGTCATTACACGCCCCCTTCTTCAGGCGCTTCTTCCAGCTCCATTTCTGCACCTCTCTCCGGTCCCTTTCCAGGGCTCTTCCAGCTCTTCCTATCATTTTCTTCTTTATGGTTCTATTGTCTTGTTTGTCTCCCATAGTCCGGGAGCCAAGGGTCCGCATCAACCCATTCTTCCAGTTTGGGTCATTTGGGGACGTGAACCCACAGGGACAGCTCTCTTCCTCCTGCCTAGGATCTTTGTGGCGTGACGCACCTGGGTCTCATTGTGCGTTTTTGCGTTGAGTACTTGCTTTGGGTGCCCTGGGAAAGGGGAGCCCTGGGCATGTCCAGGGGCTGGGCCCACTCCCACAAGTCGGCATGTCTTTTTCATTAAACTATGACAATGTTGATCGAACTTTTTTTTGTCCAGAACCAAGTTAATTACTATAAGTTCTTTTTCTTGTTGTTTTTAGAGTCCAGTTTTGAGTCAGCTCCTGGTGGTGACAGTGAAATTTGGGAGTGATAATGGGTGGGTTTTCTGGACCTAGATCTCTAGATATGGACAAGTGGAAATTTACAGAATTCCTGGGGTTTGGGTCTTTGTGAGAGGGAAGGGTTGTCCCTAGGAGAGGAAATGTTTCTGCTTTTTCCCTGAACCTATCGCTCAGGACTCTGGTACCCAATGTGACTTTGCATGGTCATTTTTCTGGCTTATCTTTTTTTTTGCTGTTCAGACACAGAAAACAGGAACTCTTGGTTTGAGTCATTATGAATTTTGAGATTGTTATTTAGGATTTTTTCCCCCTTTCGGATTTCTGGAAAGCATGTCCTAACTGGATAAACTTCTAGTCCTTTTTGATCCCCCAACCCCCCCCCCCTTTTTGTTTGTATTGCTTTTGTATTCCCTTGGTGAAAAGACTAGGCTACTGATCAGTGACCTGTCATGCCCACATGCTGGTATGTCTGCGACTACAACCCAGAATTCTCCACCGTGCCTCACCTCAGTGCTTAAAACTCATGGCTGTCCTCCACATCCGTATCCCCACTTCTTTTTATGTGGCCTGGTTAGTTGCTCAATAAAACCAGACCTTTGACATTCAGAGACATAGGGAAAAATCTAGTTAGTGGAAGTGGCTACACTTTTTCTATTATCCAACCTGGTGGGGTATGCTGTTGCGTACTATATATAGGCACCAACAGAAGAGGCTGGATCAGAGCAGCTGGGGTAACCAAGGAGAAACAACAGCAGCAACCCTGTCCTCAAAAACCAAACCAAACAAACAAAAAGCCAGTTTGTTTAAAGCACTTTTTGATAGAAAAGTACTAGTATGACCATGGTAGACTAGAAGATGGAAGTTATAAAGTAATGAATTATTCTTCTTATTCTTCTGTGTCCTCTCAGACATTTCCTAGGCATGTATAAAGCACATGGAAGGGTCAGGGACATACGTCAGAGGTAGGGTACTTGCCCGGCATGCATGAAGCCTGGGTTCAATTCCCAACATACAGGTTTTGTGTTTACATGCAGAATATGAATATTGCAGTTGGACACACTCAAAATTGTTTTTACAACTTAACTAAAATCACACTGAATGAACTGTATGTACGTTGCTTCTTTTCTAAGTCCTTCTTGGAGGTGATCATTTGTGGGGTCTCTGCAAACATCATTGCCTGCAGAGTAATAGTGGTCCACATGAAGCAAGAAGGAAATCTAGTTGAACACGATTCTATAGCTGTTTTGGCCCAAATTTGGGTAGTTTATTTTTGGCATATTTAAGTACAGTACGATTTATAAAAAAATTTTCCTGTAACACAATCTCATGTGCACAGGGAAACATAATTATATAGAAACTCTTCTCAGGTACAAGTTTCTTCTTCCATGAAAGTGGGTTCTATAGATAGAATACGGGTCTTAAGGGCCTCGGGAAGGATCTAGTATGGTCTTGGTCATGTAGAATAGATAGCTCAGAGGTCATCTGGGCTATTACCTCCCTCTGATCCTGGCTGCAGGAACCTCGGGGAGTCCCTAGGCACACAGATAGCACAAGGTTCATCTAGGCTACTAGCCACCCCATTCCTAGCTTTCTGGGTAGAAAACGGGTTTGACATCTCTTCCATTGAAGAGACAACCCTACATGTTTAACATTCTTGGATTCCCTAGTGCTTATCTGTGAGGGCAAAGACCTCTGTTCCCAACGGTCCTACTGGCTGCACAGAGACAGACCTCTTCACAGTGTCGGGGCCATGCTCCCTAGAAGGCATTTGCTGTGATTTACTTAGCTAGTTAACTCCTTCTTAATAAACATTTGGGGATATATCTGGTTGCTGTATAGTTTTCATTTTGGCTTTTGAAGAGGGATACAGAGAAAGTCCCCACATTTGGAGATACTTTTTTTTTTTTTCATCAATGGGAACCAAACTTAAGGTCTTGTGCATTTGAGGCAAGTATTCTACTTCTGAGCTATATACCTGGCTCATGTAGATGTGCTTTACAAATTCTCATTGGAGGAATTGTTGTGTTGAGGAGAATATTCACGGGGTTTTTGTTTCTGTCTTTAGTTTCAGATACAGTTTTACCAGTCAGCATTCCTGACTGGCCTGGAACCTGCTAATATAAAACATACTGACCTAAAACTCCCAGTGATCCTCCTGCCTCAGCCTCTAAAATTCTGGGATTGCAGGCATGTAACATCTGCCCAGTCTGATGTGTTTATTTATTATTTATTTACTTTATTTTGATTTTTAAAAACCCACAAGATCTCAGGTAGCTCACGTTGAGTTCAAACTCCCTATGTAGCCAAGGATGGCATTGAATACCTGGTTCTCTTGCCTCTGCTCCCCCTGTGCTGGAATTACAGGTATGGGTGGTCATGTCTGGCTTGAAAATGTTCACTGTAAATGCTGATTACTATCGCCTCCTGGCCCACCAAAGAGAGAACACAGCTTCCTTCCACTCTCTCAGTGCGGCCCCAGTCCCTCTTATCATCCTTGGCTACAGACAAGCCTCTCTCTTCCAAGGAGTGATCACCTAAACCTAGTGTGGTCCTAACACTCAGGAGGCAGAGGCAGGCAAGTTTCTGAGAGGTCTAGGCTAGCCTGGTTTAAATAGCAAGTTGCAGGACAGCCAGGGCTACATTGTTTTAAAAAACAAAAAGAACTTAAGTCTTTCCCTTCACTTGTATGCCTAGGATACTATTTTTCTTTTCTACGTAGAACCTTCCCTAGGTTGAATGATGTGGGTTTGTTTGTTTTGCTTTTTAAGACAAGAGTCTCATGTTATAGCCCAATGTAGCCTAGAACTCACTTTGAGCCAGACTGGCTTTGGACTCACAGAAATCCTGCCTCAGCATCTCAAAGTACTGGACTTCTGGGTGTGAGCCAACATGTCTGGCTCCCTTGGGGGGCTTCTACCACACAGGCTGCTTTGGAGAAAAGTGGAATCTGCTTTGTGATCACTGGGTCTGGACTTTGTAGGCTATGCTGCTGACCAGTGACTTGGAAAACAGAAATTAAAAGATATAGAAAAAAATGAAATATGTGCATAAAATCAGCACATGATCTCTCATCTCCTCCTCTGTACTCAACTGTCACAAAAAGGAAAGCTAAGCTTTCTTTCTGTGTCCAAGTCTGGGTCCCCCTATCTGATGGACAGAATATGCCTGGCTGGAGGTCTGCCTAAGCATTTGCTGCTGTGTGCCTGTCACAGAAACCAGATCTGGAAATAGCCACTTGGGCACCGGGGTTCATAATAGTGGCACACACAAGCTGCTGAGATGTTGTTAGTCGACTGCATTGTGTCTGGGAGGGGGCTTTGCAAACACGCATCTCAGTAAACTTATCCTAATTATTATTATTTTTTGTTTTTTGTTTTTTGTTTTTGTTTTTTTTTTTTTTTTTTTTTTGAGACAGGGTTTCTCTGTATAGCCCTGGCTGTCCTGGAACTCACTCGGTAGACCAGGCTGGCCTCAAACTCAGAAATCTGCCTGCCTCTGTCTCCCAAGTGCTGGGATTAAAGGTGTGTGCCACCACCACCCAGCTCCTAATTATTTTTAAAAACATTTCTGTTTGCTTATTTTAATTTCTTTTTTTATTGGATATTTTATTTATTTACAATAAAGATGTCATACCCTTTCCCTATTTCCCCTTCCTAGAACCCCCTATCCCATTCCCCTCCTCCTTTATGCTTTTATATCATTTTGATTACATGCATGTATTAAGGTCAGTTCTAGGTTGAGGGTCTAGCAATACAATAGATGCAAATATGCAAGGTACAAGCAACACAATAAACACAAATAGTCAAAGAAAAAGCAAGGCACTAAATCCAATTACTTGAACACTCCCGTGATCACTGTTTCTAGCTTATTTTAATTTCTTCATTTTTTTATGTGTATGGATGTTTGCTTCTATGTGTGTGCGCCATGTGTGTGCAGTGACCGTGGAAGCCAGAAGAGGGCACCAGATCCCCCCTGGAATTGGAGTTACAGAGGGTTGTGAACTGCTATTTTTGGGAACCCAACCTGAGTTCTCTGCAAGAGCAGTCAGCACTCTTAACCACTGAGCTATATCTCCACCCTTATTTGTTTATTTGTTTGGTGTGTGTGCATGTCTGTGTCTGGGTCTATGTGTCTGCAATTGTGTACATGTGGAAGTCAGAGGGCAACTGGTGAGAGTCAGTTCTCTCCTTCTACCACTTGGGTTTAGGGATAGAATCCAGGTCCGTGGGTATGACACCAAGCATCTCTCCTGCTCAGTTTTCTTGATTTTCACAACTGGAAGTCCCGTGCCCTGGAAGATGCACTGAGTTCCTGGCAAACCAGGCTATTTGGCTACCCCACAGGCTGGAGTAGGTCAGTGCAGTGGAGGACCAGGAATCCTGCACACGACTGGAATGTACAGACAACACACTTAGCATCCC